TGCTCTTCCAGAGGACCTGAGTTTAATTTCCAGTAGTCACTTGGCAGCTCACAATCATCTGTAACTCCAGTCCCAGGAGATCCAATGCCCTCTTCTGGCCTCAATGGATACTAGGTATGCACATGGTACATATACATACATGCAGACAAAACACTCATGCACATTAAATAAATGATAAAAATATACATTTATTTATTTTTTGTGAGTGACTATTTTGTGGGTGACTGAGTGGGTAGGTAGGCACACGTGTGTGTGTGTGTGTGTGTGTGTGTGTGTGTGTGTCTGTGTCTGTGTCTGTGTCTGTGTCTGTGTGTGTAGGTCAGAGAACAAGTTCTGAGAGTTGATTCTATCCTACTACCATGTGGGTCCTGAGAATTGAACTCGTCATCAGGCTTGGTGGCAGATGCCTTTACCCACAGAGTTGCTCACTGGCTCAGTGGCCATGGAAGCTCAGGTCTTAGCCGATCAAAGGTAGAGTACATGCATGAGTTGATGCCATACACAACCTGGGTTGTTCTGGGAACTTCAGGGACACCAGTAGCAGCAAAGAGCCACGCTTCCCCAGGGCTCTTGAATGAGACACATTGCTGCTGTTTGGAGTGGAAGTTGCTTGTTACTTTTGAGACAGTCTCATTCTGTAGCCCAGGCCTCAAATGCACAGCAATCCTCCTGCCTCAGCCTCTCAGTGCTGGGATTATAGCTGTAAACCACCACACCCAGTTACAAGAACACTTTAAATTTCAGGTGTGATTTGCTTCTGTTTCGGTTGGGTGACCCTTGGTTGAGGGACACTGGGTCACGGCAGAGCAATGCCCAAAGTCCTCACACTCCTTGTTTCCCTGACATTTCTCTGGTTTTCATTTCTGAGTGCGTGAGGATGAACGTTCATTAGGCTCTGGTTTGCTTATTTAAATGCCCCGGACCCCATCTGGCTAAGTTAGGTCTCCCATGCAAATGGTAACCAGGCCCAACCCTCCGAGATCAGACCAGATCAGGCAATTGGGAGCGTTCAGAACAAGATGGCCACAGGTGGATCCATTTATTTCTAAGACAGCTCTCTTGGCTGCTGAAGTCAAGAGACTGGTGATTCTGAAGATTTCACCCAGGAGAAGAGCAACCTCTTTTGGTCCCATGGTGCTGTCAGCCATCTCCAGTGCCACTGTAGCTGAGTAGGTTGTTTGAAGGCTGGGGAAGAGGGCTGTGTGAAGTCACAGGGAGTGTCCACGTGAAGCCTGGAGAAGGGGCTGTGAAGAAGCAGAAAGGGTCTGTGTTAGGGAAGGTTAGGGAAGGGAGCTGTGTGAAGCTGGGGCTTCCTCAGGCCCGGGGAAGGGGCTGGGTGAAGTGACTGTGGCGTCTGTTTGAAGACACCCACGGTGGTGGCTTCCCTGTGTTTGGCTCTCTATAAATTCACCCCTGCTTTTCAGGACCCGAAGTCTTCTCCATCACTCTCGGGTAGAAGAGAAGTATATGATCTTGAGGCTGTTTCTGGTAACGAGGTCACTACCCAGGGTGTGCACAGGGCAGGTGGGCAGTCAGCGGCTGTTATCAGGCACAGCCATTTCACCACCTCAGCCAGATGTTTTAAACTTTGGGGGCTCTAATCTTGAATGTTGAGCTGGTTCTGGAACAATCAGGAAGTGTAGAACCTGCCTGGTTCTGCTGATTTTGTTTGTTTGAGTTCTACAGATAATTAGAACCTGCTTCTGATGTTACCTCTCCAATATGCCCGGAAAGGAAGGAGTCAGATCCTGGCTTTCTAACTTGATATTGTTAGTCTTCTGACTATAGAAATTAAGGAACAACATAGACAAGAAACACAGCAGTTTTGTTTTGAATGCACAGGTAGCTCAAAGCATTTTTACTTTTCAGCAGTGACTTTGCCTTGGTGCCGAGGGGTTGCCGTACCCTTTGGGGATGAGCTGGCCAGTCCTGAACAGTTAAGTTTCTCCTTTTAGAGCTGGACCATTTCTGAAACTCAACATAATCTCAATGAGTTCAAGCTGGGAGGTCTTGGCAGGCTATAACTGCAATTCTGCCACCCGGTGCTGCCTGGTTTATGCCTGGTGCTGCCCTTGATGCCTGCCTGTGAGAGTCTCACTCTCCTCTCTGTAAAATGGGAACAATGGATAAGTCACTGCACTCGTCTCTGGCTCATAACTCTGGGATGAGGATCAATGATTTAATGTAAGTCCCTCAAACAGCCCAAGGCACACAAGGAATACTGAGTGAACATTGAGTTTCCATTCCTTGGCTTTTCTTCCTTTAAATTGGCGGAGCCAGAAATTACAGGGGTGAAAGCCCTTTCCTGCCTTGGCATTGTTGATGTGGAGAGAAAATCACAATCCCCCAAGGGGCTGAGCACTGGAGCGTGGCCAGCTGGTGGTGTTGGAGACAGACGGCCTGGGACTCAGCCCCCAGTGGAAAGGACGACTCAGCCTCCTGATGCCCCACAGACCTGGTCAGGAGAGGGTCTCTGTGCTCCTGGTGGCTCTGTGGCTAGGCCAGTTGCCTTGATCCAGAGCCCATGCCCATACTGTGTTCCCTGATTGGGGTCTGGCTTTGGGAAACAAGGGCAGCAGAGTCCCACGGTCACAGTGACGAGTGACGATGGTGACATGTGGCTTTAATCTGACTCTGAAAGTCAGCTCATGTGTTTCTCCTCACTCCAGCCAGTTATTTAACTAAACCTGAGGAAAATGGTATAGGATCTCCACATTCCAGACTCCCTGACACATTCTGGACTCTCTGCCAGTCCCAGTCTGAGTCAGTGGTAAAGGGTAGAGAAGTCAGAAGTGAACAAAGGTCAGGAACCAAGGCTTAGCACAGCTTCAGAAATGGCCCCCAAATCAGATCCAGAGCTCACTCACACTAAACACAGCCACTGTCATGGGACACTGGGACACTGTCCCAGTGGATACAAGCTCTCATAGGCACAGGACTTTCACAGACACATTGTCACTAGACTCACACATACACACTATCTAGGACTTACACACTTACATATACAGTCACACGATGCACACATATACACTCGTACACATATCCAACACAGAACAAATAAAACATAATAAGAATTAAGAATATAAAATGGAAGACCCAGCTACTAAGGCACCTCCATCCTCCTTCGGGAACTGTGTCTCTGTTTTGGTTCCCTCTATTCATCCCCCTGGCCCTTGCCTTCTGGGCTCACTCTCCCACAAGCTGTCCCCCAAACACTGTGGCCTACCCCCCTCTCATCTGTGGACAGATCCTCTATTGGACCCTGCGAGGTGGCTTCCTCCCAGCCCACACTTGAGGTTTTAGGATTTAAAAAAAAATTTTCCTTTTATGCCTCTGCCTTGGGTGTCCTGATCTTACAATGTGCCCAGATGTGAGGGGCTGGTTTTTAGACCCCAGAAAGATGAGGAGTTGTCTGGAAAGTGGGGGCACGTAGTCCCCTTGGCTTGCACATCATTCATAGCTTTGGAAGCACAGACCTGGACCCAGGGTGCCTGGGCTGTGGGTTTTCTGGCTTTCCCTCTCTTCTGCAGCTCTGGGAGAATGTGGCTATTGGCTCCTGGCATCTTCCCTGCAGGAACCCAATGGTGTCCTGGTGTCTGGTGGGATTTGAGAGGAGAGCGCCTGCTAAGACAGCCTATTCCTCATTGCTTCCTGCCACAGTCTCTGGGAAGACGGTGTGGTGTGTGTGCTGGGATGTTGAAAATTGGCAGGAGAGTGGTCTTGGCATGCAGGGAAGGTCAGCTCAGGTTCCACCCGACTCTCTCCTTGCCTTTTCACAAAAGCCTTTGTTTTCCCAAAGTTTCACGTGTGTGGCCCTGCAGGGACATCTGCTCCTGGCTGTCTGAGCCTCTCTCTGTACAACTGCCAACTTCCCCCAGGTTTCCTGACCCCAAACAGCCTGCCCTCTCATCCCATCTTAGAAGGGGGTTATTATTCCTAGGGGTATCCGGCCCTTTGGGAACACAGATTATGAATTCAACTTGAAAACACATCTTTGGTTTTGTTTTCCTTTTAGAAGAAGGAGGAGAATCCAAACCATGTCCCGATGCCTCTCCTCTCAGTGGTGTCTGAGTCTCTCTCTCCATCCATGCTCACTGGCTGTAATCTTCCTGCTCTTAGCTTAAAACAGGAATTGTGTGGTCCCAACTCCTCCATTGTTCTGATGGAGGTTAATGGAGTTCCCACACAGACAAGGGATAGTGGGAAGTGGGGTCTAAAAACAACTCTTGGTGTCACTTATAGAAATGCTCAGATGTTTCTGCAGAGGCGAGCATGCTGGATGTTCAGCAGAACATTTGTGGTGTGCTCTCAGGTTAGGGCCGTGGCTTCCTGTGTGGAGAAGGAGGTGTGTTCCCCACCCAATTCCTCCTTATGTTTTAAAGATTTGTGTGTGTGTGTGTGTGTGTGTGTGTGTGTGTGTGTGTTTCTGTGTGAGCATGGGTACTCCATGGAGGCTGGAAGAGGGGACCAGATGTCATGCTAGTGGAGGTACAGGCAGCCATGAGCTGCCCAGTGTGGGTGCTAGGAACTGAACTCAGGTCCTCTGGGAAAACAGGGTATGCTGAGTCCCTTGCTCTGATTTTCTCAGCATGACTGGGCCTTTCTGTGAATGCTTTATTTGTGTTTATGGTGTTTGTGTTTGAAATGGTAATAAAGACCACAGAATCCAAAGGAACGGGGCCAGCACTAGATAGCGGGTAGGGACACATGTATGTGGGTGGATCCATTATGAGGCATGGTGGTCAGATCATTGTCATAAGGTAGCTTTCCCGGGGAGTCCAGGTTTGTGTGTAAGCATCAGCAAGGATGGCTCAGAAGCAAAGCCGTCTCTGAAGTCTGGGTACAGCTGGCTGGGCTCTCACGCTCCTCCTTGAGGGGCAGCGGGGTGTCCTGCTGCTGCTTTCTGTCTCTTATAAGCTGTTCACCATTGTTCTGTGGTTTGAAGTTGATGGCTTTCCCGGGTCTCATGCTATCTTGTTTTACCCTATTCTCAGGCGTCCTGGCTCTGGAGAAGGCTTCGTGGCAAGAAGCGGCCGGTGATGGCATTCTGCCTTGTGATGCTTCTGTCTGCGGTGGCTGTCACTCACCTTCCTCCAGAGCACCCAGCTTCCACTCCAGGACTCGGTCCCATGGAACCTGACTCCAGCATTTGGCAGACTTTGAACTCTAGCCAGAGGCAGCGGGCAAGAAACCTGAGCCTCCGGAAGGGCCGGGCTTTGCCCAGAAATTCCAGCTCGGTCTGTACTGAGAAACGAAGCCACAGAAGGCGCGTGGACAGAAGCAGACACCCACTGGGGGTCAGAAGAGACATTACTGTGACAGGAGGTCCGACGCTCAGTGCCCAGCATCATGGGCTTTTAGTGGAGGATGAGGTCAGAGATGCAGGAGGCACAGCCCTGGACCAACCTGGGCATGATGTTCCTGTCCAGGAGACACAGAGTAAGACAGACACCCTGGTTAGCCTGCTGACAGGGGGCAGCCTGGCAACTTCCCAGGCACGGAGAGGTACTGCTGCAGTGAGCTTTAGGCCCCATCCAGCAGAGGGTGGGAGTTCCCTGTCAGGAGCCAAGGACAGAGTCTTGACTGGTGGGAAGCCTGGGGGTGCCACCTCAGGTTCTAGAACTCATTGGTGGCCTGGCTCAATTGGAGAACTCCAAAGGTCCCCATGGTGCCATCCCGAGCCCCCTGGATTATTGGCCAATGCTGTGACTGGGGGGCAGGTTCCACCATGGTTCACAGAACATGATGTACAGATTCTCGGGCTACTGGCCCATGGGGAGGTGGTGGGCAAAGCCAGGGTCCCTGCCCATGGGCAGGTGCTGCAGGTCGGCCTATCTGCTGGGGGTGCCCTCCAGGACATGTCTCCTCTCAGACTCAACCAGCTCTGCTCCCAGGGCCTCTGTGGTCTGATCAAGAGGCCCAGGGACCTGCAGGAAGTCCTATCCTTCCATGTGGACCGTGTCCTGGGACTCCAACGGAGCCTGCCTGCTGCAGCCCGTACCTTCCACAGCTCCCTTCTGCCCTACCGTTACACCGATGGCAGTCTGAGGCCCATCATCTGGTGGGCACCTGATGTGCAGCACTTAGGAGACCCAGATGAGGACCAGAACTCTCTGTCCTTGGGCTGGTTGCAGTACCAGGCCCTGCTGGCTCGAGGTTGCAGCTGGCCAGGCCAGGTCCCGTGCCTGGGCATCCACCATGTTGAGTGGGCACGTTTGGCCCTCTTTGACTTCCTGTTGCAGGTAGGTGTGGTTGGGCAGTGGGGTGGAGTGCTGTGGAGTTGGGAAGTTTCAGGTGAAGGCCAGCTTTGCCTGGCCAGGATACCCACTCCTCACAATCCTGGGCTTTATTATCTAGCAACTGTTCTTGCAATTTCTCTGCCTGTTTATCCTGTGGTGCCCTAGAGCAGGGCTTCTTAAACATTTTCCATTCAGGGACTGGCTAGACAGCTCAGTGGTTAAGAACACTGGCTGCTCTTGTAGAGGACCAAGGGTTGATTCCCAGCTGGTGGCTCACAGCCGTCTGTGACTCCAGTCCCAGGGATCTGATGCTCTCTTCTGGCCTTGTCAGGTATTAGATGTGCCCATGGGTACCCAGACATATATGTAGGCAAAGTACCCATACACATTAAAAAAACAAAACAACAGAACAACATCAAAAAACTCAACTACTACCAACAACAACAACAAAATATCCATTTATTAAAACCCTGTTTTACCCAAGAATTTTTGTTTTGTTTTGTTTTGTTTTGTGTTTCAAGAAAGGGTTTCTCTGTGTAGCCCTGGCTGTCCTGGCACTCACTCTGTAGACCAGGCTGGCCTGGAACTCATAGAGATCCACCTGTTTTTGCCTCCCGAGTGCTGGGATTAAAGGCGTGTGCTGCCACCACCTGGCTTACTCCAGAAATTTTTATCTGACCTTGGATATACAGTAATGTAAAATAGGTATATAAATGAAGTATTTACTGATGATAATGAAGAAATTTATTTTAAAACAATTCCCAGGTATACACAAAATCTTGCCACTTGTTAAAGATTAAAGCAAATTTGCATATTAATGAGAAGTTCGTTATTTTAAATGGAGACTTGGCTGTGGCACCACAGGGTGTTGGGCATATCCAGAAATTCACTTTACCGTTGACGGATACTTTGACTTTGTAGTCACGAGTCCGGAGATGCTGCTTTGTATAAGTGGGAGCTGCAAGTGGGTGTTCCTCACTAAGCACTGGCCATGTCAGTACAAGCATCTGACACGAGAAGACCCAGCCCAGCAGTGCATGCCTGCAGTCCCAGACTGGGGGGTGGGGAGTGGAGGGCAGGCAGCCAGGTGGACCAGTGAGCTCCGGGTTCAGTGCAAGTCCCTGCCTCAAAAAGTAACTGAGGAAGACATTCAAAGATGACCCCTGGCCTCCACACATGCATGCACACCTTCATGACACATGAGAACACATACACATACATACATACACCCTCTGCAGAAAAGGCAGAATTATGTTTAGGGCTATGTCAGAAATTACTGGAAATTCTGTTTTAATCCCAAGTTACTGATTCAGGACCCCCTCCCCCATCCCACTGCTAAAATACCAGTTTGCCACTGTTTACAGTTTTTGATGTATTTATTTTATTTTAATATGTATGAGTGTTTTGCCTGTGTGAATGTATGTTTACCACATTCATGCCTGGTGGCCATCAAAGCCAGAGGAGGGCATTGTATGCCTGGGACTGTAGTCACAGATGACTGTCAGCTGCCATGTGGAAGCTGGGACTCAAACCCAGGTCCAGTCTCAACACAGTTTATAGTTTTATATCTTTGAACCCACATGCAGTCAAGGGTGTTGCATAATTTAAAATAAGGGAGACAGAGAGAGAGAGAGAGAGAGAGAGAGAGAGAGAGAGAGAGAATTGCAGAAAGAATGGAAGGAGAGCTATAAAGGGAGGTGCCCATCCATCTGGACACTGAGCATTCACTGAGGCCAACTAAGGTTCTTGCTTCTGTCTGGCAACAGAAAGCCTAAAACTTATTGAGAGGAGGGGCTGAGGTGGGATTCAAAGTAGAGCTGCACAGCAAGGCTAAGGTCCAGCTGGGGGCTGTGAGCATCAGCTGCTTAATTGGCCCCTTGGAGTGTGGCTGCTCCAGGCTTGAAGGTGTGATGCTGGCTGTAGACAAAGGGCCTTGAAACAGCTGGCCATTCATGCCCACAACCAGGAAGCAGAGAGTGGTGTATGCCTTCTCTATTTGATACACTCTAGAATCCCCTACCCAAGGAAATCCTGCCCAGGATAAAAGTGTGACTCCCTGTTAGGATGGACTGTACCTCTGAATCACGAGGCAGAGTAAACCCTTTGTCCCTCAAGTTGCTTTTTTTGTCAGGGTATTTTATCACAGCAATGGGAGAGGAAACAGACACCCTCCGTGTGTGTGTTCCACACAGATTGAAGGGCTCCTGCTGGGTTCTTTCCTAATGTCTGTCTCTGGGCCTGTGTTAGATGGTTTACCAGCCCTAGAGGTTTCTGTGTGCTAGGACGTTTATGGATATAATTAACTCAAGCAGCTGGCGAGGGTATACACTTGGTAAGCAATAGGTGCCATATCCAAGGCTATCCAGGAACAGAACCAGACCATCCCCATAGCAACCTTACTGATGGGTAAAGTGTCTGCTGTGCCAGCATGAGGACCTGAGTTCCATCCCTGGCTCCCATGTACAAAGCCAAGTGTGGAATGCTTGGACTCCCAGAGCTGGGTAGGAGGAGACATCCCTGGGTCTGATTGGAGAGAGTGTTGGGATGGGGGAAAGGTGCATGAGGGACACATCTGACCTCTGGCTCCTGTATGCACATGCACAGGTATAGGTAAGCGCGTGCGCGCACGTGCGCTGTGCCCACACACACACACACACACACACACACACACACACACACACACACACACACCAGTAATTATTAATGAAAAATAAAATGGAGCCATTGAGGTCCAGAGATTAAGTTCCTTGTCCAAGGTCACAGCCAGGGGGCTGAGAGGCAGCCTGGCTGGCCTAGCCCGGAGCTCACTCCTTTCTCACAGAGTCACTATTGAGCTGGCCAGTAATGGGAGCAGAAGGGGACATTTGCAGGGAGGCCCAGGGGCCCCGAGACCCAGGGAGCAGCCGTTTGCAAAGCCCGACTCCAGCAATGTGCTTACGATAGCTTTGTGCTCTGTACAGAGGACCTCTGTTCCTCTCCAGGGCTGTAGCATGCGACCCTTCCTTAGCTGCCAAATTCTGCAGTGGGGACAGAAATCTCTGCCGCCAAGGCGCACACAGGCCAGCTGTGTGGTCAGACACCACTGGGCTGGGATCATGCCACCTTTCCCTAGTTTGCTGGACAGCAGTCAAGAAAAACAGCCATCTGGCTGACAGCAACTTCCTAGAAACCTCAGTGAGGCTGCAGAATGTGTTAAGGCACAGGCACCTGAGGTGCTGTGTGACCCACGGCTAGCCACAAACTTCAGATGCAGCCCCCTGAGGTGGGTCTGCTGTCAGGCCCCTCACACTCGTGTTAGCAACACTCAGAGGCCAGGGACAAAGTGCTGGGGTTTGGCATCGTGTTTCCCTGTGCAAGGGCTTTTCTCCCACGTTTGAGGAGAGAGAGAGAGAGAGAGAGAGAGAGAGAGAGAGAGGGAGGGAGAGGAGGAGGAAGAGGAAGAGAAGGAGAAGAAATGATTCCATTGAAGACTTCAACCCGAGTTTCTTGGGGTTGCTCATAGAAACATGGATAAGTGGTCCCCAGGGTATGGACAGTTGAGCCACTGAGGAACCCTCACCCCAGTGTTAACTGTCTATAGATCCTGGGGGCATGGCTCATAAGTCTTGTGAGATATTGTTCCTGACCCTCCACAGGAGTCAGTTAGAGACCCACCTCGTGAGGACTCCTGTGGTTAATTACAGCTACACTTACTTCTAGCTGGCAATGATCATGTCACACCTGGAAGACAGTTCCACACTCCAGTCTGCCTCTCAGGCTCATGTCACTGTGTGACCAGGGTGATCTGTGGAAGTCAGGTGAGCCGAGTTAAACTGGTAGTGTTGGTGTTTGAGGGAGGTTCGTGGCCCCCAAAGCTAGGACCCAGAAGCCCCAGCTGCCAGAATCCTGGTCTGGGCTCTGTCTCTTCTTGGGGCCAACACAATGGTTCCTATTGTGTCTCTTGCCTCTGTTACAGCTTGTCCAACCCCATCTCCTCACTGAAACCTGAGAGACTCTTTGGTCTCAGCTCTCAGCAGCAGAGCCCAACACCATGGTCCCAATGGAACTGAACTACCCATAGGAGAGAAGGCAGCCATCCAAGGGCCCGTGGGACCCAAGTTCACAGGGAAGTTCACAAGAGTGGTGGGGCATGACTGACTCAGGCATAGTCTGGGGGAGTGAGGAGACTAGGGTGCTTGTAGCCAGATCCCTGGCAGGCTGAATCTGGGGGAAGCTCCTGGAGGAGCATTCGGAATGCAGCAATGGAGAAGGCCTCCACAGCATAGCTGTGCAGAAGCTGCAGCCTAGAGGAAGGGCTCCGAGCCACACAGGTGGGCCAGGCCACAGTTAGATCCATTACCTCCCTGTCAGACAAAGCAAGGCCTCCAGTGCCTTGAATGGTCCTCTGACTATAACCTCTCCGGCTCTTTGTCTTGGCATTTGGTCTCAGTCACTCCCTAATGCAGTGGGAACAAGCAAAATACCTCCATATGATCCAGTTGTGGAGTATTTTCTCCATTAGTGGTTGATGGAGGAGGGCCCAGACCATTGTGGGTGGTTCCATCCCTGGCCTGGTGATCCTGGCTTCTATAAGAAAGCAGACTGAGCAACCCAGTAAGCAGCTCCCTCCAGGGCCTCTGCATCAGCTCCTGCCTCCAGGTTCCTGTCCTGACTCCCCTCAGTGATGCACTGTTAGCTGGAAGTGTGAACAAAACAAACCCTTTCCTCCCCAGAGTGCTTTTGATCCTGGTGTTTCGTCACAGCAACAGAAACCCTAAGACAGTCTTCCTTCTTTTTTTGTGATCTGTTTGTTATTCCTGGATGCTTCATCTCCTTGGGACATCAAAGACACATCCAGGGCGGCTCCTCACTGACTGAGTGGCTGTGACTTCTGTATGGTCATCCTACACTAACTGCACTTTAGTCTTCACCCTTGCCCCTGCATGTGTGTGGGTAGGTGGGCAGATGTGTGTATGTGTGTGTGCATGTGTGTATGTGCGTGTGTGTATTGCATGTGTGTGCATGTGTGTGTGCATGTGCATGCATGTGTGTATATGCATGTGTGTGCATGTGTGTATTGCATGTGTGTGCAAGTGTGTGCATGTGTGTGTGCATGTGCATGCATGTGTATATGTGCGTGTGTGTGCATGTGCATGCATGTGTGTATGTGCATGTGTGTGCGTGTGTGTATTGCATGTGTGTGCATGTGTGTATGTGCGTGTGTGTATTGCATGTGTGTGCAAGTGTGTGCATGTGTGTGTGCATGTGCATGCATGTGTGCATGTGCATGTGTGTGCATGTGTGTATTGCATGTGTGTCCATGTGTGTATGTGCGTGTGTGTATTGCATGTGTGTGCAAGTGTGTGCATGTGTGTGTGCATGTGCATGCATGTGTGCATGTGCATGTGTGTGCGTGTGTATTGCATGTGTGTGTGTGTATGTGCATGTGAGTGCGTGTGTGTATTGCATATGCATGCATGTGTGCATGTGTGTGTATGTGCATGTGTGTGCGTGTGTGTGCATGTGTGTAAGTGTGTGTGTGTGCATGTGCATTGTGTGCATGTGCATGTATGTGCATGTGTGTAAGTGCGTGTGTACACGGCTCTGAGACATGAGGAACTGGCTCTCTGGGAAAGGTTGTGTTTCTACGAGGGAAAGAATGACCCCCAGCCCAGCAAAGGTTCTGAGAACTTGGGCTTCTGGGTGGAAAAGGAAGTGGAAGATCCCGGATGTAGGGTGTGGACCACAAGAATACCAAGCATCTTTTCTGGAATGTGCCTGGCATGGTTCAGGGATCTGGTGAGTCTAGACAGAGAGCTAGGGCCACCCACACCCTGTGCTGGCCTCTCCCTGGCCTTCCTTGATCAATTGCAGTGTCTTGTCCCAGCCAGACACTCTGTTTGGGAGGTGACAGGTGGTGGGTATGGAGGACAGGCTCCAGTGCCTCAGGTCTCCTTGGGGACTTGCGTGTTCTCCCTGCTTCATTTATTGTTCAGAAGACCTCACGAAGTTTTAACTTGTATTGAGTGCATTCTGGGTTCTGGGGTCAGACTGTTTATTCTAATTATTTATTTTATTTCAGTCGTTTATTTTCCTGTCCAAGAATTCACAGCTCTGAGTGCCAGAGAGGATACACCTGCCACGCCGTCTGTCTTTATGGACAGAGTCAGATTTCCTGGCTTCAAACCCAGGGATCAGCACTCCTAGCTATGTGGCCTTCAGCGCAGTAGTTACTCTCTTCTAACAGGGCTCACTGTCCTCGTCACTTTTGGAATGGGTGTCCCTCTCACTGCCTAAAGGGACCCAGTGCACTGTGCTGTGTAAAGCTGTCAGGGTGGCACCTCCACAGCCCGAGCTGTGCAAGACCCTTCACTAACTGAAAGCCCCAGATTGAATTAGTTTGCAGCACCGCCCGGCTGGCCCAGTGCACTGGGACTCTGCATGGAATCATCATTTCTCTGGGTAACTCCTCATTTTTTCAAAGAGTGGAGGAAGGGCGAAGTCCTGAAGGAATGTGGGCTGCAGCCTGAGCTTGCTCACATTCAGTTGGTGGGAAAACAAAACAGACAGCATGGAAAAATAATCAACCTGGCACCTGGGTGAGCACGCTCCTCCTGCCAGGAGTCCAGGTGGGCGTAGATCTCAGGAGGACAGAGCTGCCCACGTTATGCTCTGGAAATAAATGCTGCATGATGGGAAATCTGGATAGAGCAGCCTGGGGCTGGGGGAGGGGATGGGAGCAGGGGTCCTGTGCAGGTTCCTGGAGGTGTGGGGGCAGGAGCAGGGTCCTGTGCTTACTCCTGGAGATGTGGTGGTGGCAGTGCTGGCTGGAGCTGGCTGTATGTCCAGGCAGAGCAGTTCCCACATCCACGTTCCAGTCTCGCCAGGGCCGCCTCAGCATTGTCCTCCAGCCAAAGGCAATGCAAGCAGCCGGGGTTTCTGGCTTACAGACTGTCCTAATTTGCTTTCTATTGCCGTGATAAGCACACTAACTAAGAGCAGCTTGGGAGAGAGGGGTCCATCATGAAGGGGAGTCAGGGCGGGAACTGAAGCAGAGGCCATGGATGGGTGTTGCTTGCCAGCATGCTCCCCACGGCCTGTCCTCCCTGGCTTGTTATAACACCCAGGAAGGCCTGTGTAGGACTGACACCGCCCACAGTGGGCTGGGCCCAACCTATATCCCTCATCAAAGAAGAAACTGCCCCCCAGACTTAATGAACTGATAGAGGCGGTTTCTCAATTGAGGCTATTTTCCTGAATGACCACAGCTTGTGTCAGGTTGGCAGAGCACTAACCAGCACGTAACACCATTGCTTTCCAAATAGACTGCATATATTCATGTCACCAAAATCCCTACTCCACGTTGGACTCTGGGCCTTGGGCCTGTTGCCTGAGGGGACCCTCTGGTCAGCCCCTCTCAGGACTGTAGACAACAGAACTCTTACAACCATATGCCCAAAGAATATGCCTTTAATCTTTCCTTTGCCTACGTGGTTCTCCACGTGGCCACATGGAGTAATGACACCCATTTTAAAAATTCTAGAATCACACCTATTTTTTTTTTCTGGGGTGAGATGCATGGGACTCAGAGGGTTTTGAGGTGCGAGCCAGAAGAGCCTGTGTACCTACCTAGTAGCAACAGAGCTGGTGATAGTCCTCTCTCCAGCTGGGGTTTCTCTTGAAACAGAACTTGGTACTAGGATGTGGGTAGGGTCAGTTCATTTGGGAGTTTCACCAGGAAGTCTGCTGAGCAGGGAGAAGAGCCCACAGAAGGTGTGGTCATGAGAGTGCTACCCCGGGGCCCCCCCCCCCCCCCCCCCCCCCCGGCCAAGTGAAACCTGGCCCTAACGAGGGCCCATGGGGCACTGCAGAAATCTACTCCATCTGAGGATGGAGAGTTTGCACACCAGCTCTGGGGGTTGCCTCTGGATAGAAGGAACATTATTTTATATTACTTCCAGTCTGCTACATGGGTAGGCAATGCCTGATCAGGGGCCAAAAGGCTCCTCTGAACTCGGGAATGGGATGACAGGGACCTTTGCAGGTGAGCCTGGGTTCACAGGTCAGGCAGCAAGAGAGTCTGCTAAAGCCTTAGCAACTACACACCTCGGACCTGGAAGGTAGAAAGGTCAGGGAGCACAGTGTGAGAGTCAGAAGTTCAGGGAGCACAGCTCTGAGAAATGACAAAGGCTCTGCTTGACTTCAGCAAGAAAGGAAAGAACTTCAGAGAACAAAGATGAGGCTCCAGGGAGTCTGGGGATCAGGACAGGGAGAGCATGTGGTCAGGGGAGCCTGGGTCCTTCTGCACTGTGTGACTTGACAGTCTAGGGGACCTCAATTAGTGAGGCCAGCAGACACAGTTCAGCAGGGCAGGGCTCCCATGCAGGAAGTCTGAGTGCTTTTGATTGGCATGTGTGCTCAAAATAGACCATACCTCTGGGATTCTGCTTTGCTCCTTGAAGAATGTCAAGGACAAGCCACTCACAAAGACCAAGGAATTTCCACATTGCTTGTTGAGGATTGATTGTTTTGGAATTAGTCTTGTTAATTAAAGCTAAAGGAAGAAGAGAAGGTACCCAGAGAATCCAGGACTATCACCCCATGACTGTGGGAGCAGCAACAAGTGCAGGTGGTGGCCATATGTCCACAATTATCATCTGTTGTTGCCACTCAGTCAGCCAGGCTAGAGACCTGGTTCAGATTTTCTGGGCACCGTCATCCTACTGCCCCTTCCCATATACAGCCCACCTTGTCCACAAATGGGGCCCCAACCTATGCTTCAACAACTTTGACTTCAGATCCCAGCTGCATGTGTTCTCCTTTATGAAGCAGAATGTGTCTGAACTCAGGATGATAGGGTCTGAAGTGAGGAGGCAATGAGGCAAGGGTGGCCAGACCGACCAGCTCTGTAACACCAACCTGCTGCCATCAACTCAGTATGGCACTATCTGAGGTCAGTGGAGGTCCTGGAGTTTCAGGACAGAAGACTGGTTCTGGCAGCTTAAATGGACTAGGCTTGGCCACCCTTCCTACCATGCCAATTTAAAGAGATGAGTCGTGGTGACAAGCAGGAAAAACAGAGAGAGGAGCGTGGACAGAGGGGTCCCGTGACCCACGCTCATTTTAAGGATACTGACCTGAGCTTCAGGTTTTTGACAGAGGAAAGATTAGGGTAGATTCCCCCTTCTAGCTGGAGGTAAGTGAGGAGCTGATCAGCACAGACAGCCTCTGAGTCCCTGAACAGCCTTGGCCAAGTGGCCTTGATATTGGGTCTGGAGAAGACAGGTACAATGCCAGCCTTCTCTGCAGGTCCATGATCGCCTGGATCGCTACTGCTGTGGCTTTGAGCCTGAACCCTCAGACCCTTGTGTGGAAGAGGGGCTCCGAGAGAAGTGTGGGAACCCGGAAGAGTTGCGGCTGGTCCACATCCTGGTATGTTTCTCCTGTATGCGTGGTGCCTTGCCACATGAGGGCTGGATAACATGTCTCTCCTGCAGGAAGATGCTCCCGATGGCTACATACAGGGTTCCCCAGACTTCTTTCTTCTCTCTGTCAGCAAACGTTGGCTTAAATAAGACTTCTAGGATGTCAAATAGATAAAACAGACAAAATGGACATTGAGCATGCAGCTGAGGTGGAATGGGTATATGTGTGAAGCCGTTTTTACTGCTCCTCGAGGCACTTGAGGGAACTTTGAGGTCTTTGAGGGGTGGAGTTGGATACCAGGGATATGAGTGGAAGGGGGAAGAGGCAGTCGGAGGGAATGCTTGGGCTCTGAAGCCTAGATTGCTAGGGGGTGGTTATGGAAAGTAGCATTGAATTCTGGGAGTGTGTGGGAACAGTGTGTGCTTGGGAGTGTAAGCCAGAGGAGATGGCCTGCTATTGCCAAACACCAGAGTTTAGAAGTGTGTGCATTCCCTGGAGTACACTCGTGTGGAGGCCAGAGGTTGACACCAGGTGTTTCCCTCTGTCATTCCTCACTTTAGTTTTGAGACAGGGTCTCTTCACCGAACTTAGAGCTTGCCAATTCAGCTAGACTGATCTTTAGCCCCAGGGACCCAGGGCCCTCCTCTCTGTGCTCCTCAGCACTGGAATTGCAGGCACACACAAACTCACCTCACCTGGCCTTTTTTTTTTTAGGTTCTGAGTTTTCAGGTTCTCATAAATGCATGGTAAGCCCTTTGCCCACTGAGCCATCTCCCCAGCCCCATACCATATTTTTAAAGCACTAGAGAATTCCATTTTTCTTGTTTTAGTGTGGAAAGGATTTAAGAAATGCTAAAGACTCTACCTATGAAATTAGGGTGTGGTCAGTGATCTATAGAGATAAAGGACATGGCTGTATGTTCTAGGTGATACTTAGGCACAGATGACAAGAGAGATGGTGTGTGTGTGTGTGTGAGAGAGAGAGAGAGAGAGAGAGAGAGAGAGAGAGAGAGAGAGAGAGAGGCCTGTGTATGATATGACATGAATGTTTTTGACCCTGAGGAGTATACTTTTTCCTTTTGCAACTGCAAGTTCAGTTCCCACCCATGCTCCTGACCCTGCTAGCCACTATACCAGGAATCAGCCCCCTTGCCTTGCAATTTAAAAGGTACGATTATGACTCACTGCTATGCTATGAGTTTGCCCTTGTTGTTTATAAGCTGTGTGATCTTGTGTAAAGTGTGTAAGACTCCTAAGGCTGCTGGGAGGATCTACAGAGATGGTACACAGGGCTGGTGTAGAGTAAACCCTCAGCCATGGGACCTTGTGGACAAGTGGGGAGATTGTGGCACAGACAGCTGAGGATGCCCTTGAAACTGACAGAGTGGTACCAGTTACACTCTGCCCTTACCAATGGCTGCCCCTGTCCATCTTCTTCCCCTGAGGTCCGGAGCAGTGATCCATCTCACTTGGTGTACATAGACAATGCTGGCAACCTTCAGCATCCCGATGACAAGCTGAACTTTCGGCTGCTGGAAGGCATAGCTGGGTGAGGATCCAGGGTGTTGGGTAGGTTTGAGGGGTGAGGTTTGATGGCCCTGCTGCAGACTGTGGAACCTTCCAACTTCATCTCCTTAGAGGGCTAAAGTCCATCAGACCAAAGCTAGATCTGAGGCTGTGGGGGCTGAGGAAGGCTGAGAGGGGCTACAGTCACTTGGCCTGTCCCCTATATCCAGAGGGGGACCTGGATATTCCTGCAGAATACCAGCTGCCCTGCTTCAGTGTGTGAAGGCTAGCTCATCCTGGATCTAGTTGAAAGAGCTAGCCTGGTGACCTGCCATTCCTCGTCTGCTCTTAGTAGGCAGCTCAGCCTTTTCAGGGCCTTCTGGGTCCCCAAGTGTGCCCAGATGAGCCCAGAGTGGTAGGGTTGGTACCCCAGGCTTCACTTTAGGGTGGGGCCTATCTGAGAGCTCTACCATCTGCTTTCAGGACACAGCAGGCTGCAGGATCTGACAAGGAGCCAGCAGGCATAGACTTGGCACTTCCCTGGCTGACTGTGCTGGGTTCCCGGCAGAGTGGGGGGCAAGTTTGGGATTCACACTTGTGGATACTCTCTGAGCTCAGTTATGCCTTTCCTTTCTTGCATGGGCTCTGGGGCCTTGACCAGGTTTCCTGAGTCTGTTGTGAAGGTTCTCGCATCAGGGTGTCTACAGAGCCTGCTGATCAAGTCGCTGCAGATGGACCAGGTGTTCTGGAAGAGCCAAGGTGGAGCCAGAGGTCTGAAGCATGTCCTGGAGACACTGGAGAGGAGAGGGCAGGTCCTGCTGAGGCACATAGAGAAGCACAACCTCACGCTGTTCGGGGACAATGACCTGTGAGCCCATCACTGTCTGGACAGAGCTCACCCTGCTTGGGGGACTTACCACAATGTAAACCTGAGCTGCTGAGTGTTCCTCCCAGTGACAGTATTTCCTTGACAACAGCTGGCCATTCAGTTGACAAATGGGAGAAGCCAGCAGCTGGAGGAGCCTGCAGTGCCATGGGATGGTTCACCTGTTGGGGTGGTGGACCCCAGCCTCACACTCCCTCTGCATTCTCCACTCTGGATATTTACTCCCACGCACCCATAAATATGTTTAAGAATGTTCCGTGAACATGCAGTGCTGTGTGCGTGCATGTGTGCAGAGGTGTGCAGGTCTATGCATGAACCTGGGACTTCATGCATGCTGGCAAGTTCCCTACCAACTGAACTATATGCCCAACAGGAGAAGCCTTTTTTTTTTTAGGATTCATTTTTTAATATGAAATTTTACTTTTAGGTGCATGGGTGTTTTGCCAGCCTATATATTTGTGCACCATGTGTGTACCTGGTGATTGCAGAGGCCAGAAGAGGGACCAGATCCCTAGGACTTGAATTACAGGCAGTTGTGAGCTGCCTTGTAGGTGCTGAGAATTGAACCTGGGTCCTCTGGAAAAGCAGCCAGTGAGACAATCTCTCCAGCCCCTAATTTTATCTTCATTTATGTGCATGTGTGTGTTTGTGTGTGTGCACGCCCGTGCCACATGTGTGCAGTGCCTGTGGAGGCCAGAAGAGGACAGCCAGATTCCCCAGTACTGGGGTCACAGGTGGGTTGTGTGCTGCCTAGATTGGGTGCTGGGAACTGAACTCTGTATAGTCCTCCACAAGGGCAACAAATGTTCTTAACCATTGAGCCATCTTTCCAAAGGCAACAGGGAGAAGCCTGTTATAAAAACTGATTTTCCCTTATTATTGTAGAAATGATCTTTATTTCCATGTTAGCCATTTCATGTTTTGTGAGCTGACTTTTCAATGTAAGACGTTTGTCCCTTCCTTGGTCGTGTGTCAGAGTTTTGACTCCAAGCTGCATGTACTCAGCCCTTGCTGTTACACTTGTCTGCTTCCTCTCAGTCTTTCATCTATGGCTTGATTCTGTCTTTTATGAAGTAGTAAACTTCTGTGTTTAATCAAATTTGTTCATTTTTGCCTGTGAGTCTCCCAGGGTTCCTGCCTTCTTAGGCTGTTACTCCTTCAGATCACGGAACTATCATCTGTGCACGTCTTTACTTCCGGGTCTTTTTGTATGAGATTTGCATTTCAGACTGGTTTGAGTTAGGGGTGTAACTGAAGTTTCTTTGCTCCTGAGTCTATTCTGTTCCCACCCATCTGAAAGTATACTCTTATCAGATAAATCCCAAGGCACACAGAGGCCCCTTGTGAGCTTACTATGCTCTGCTTATAAGGTTTCCTAACTCCCCACTTCAATGGGGCACTGTTCTAACCAAAGTTACTTTATTCTGTTTGGTAGCACGACTATCCACTTACAACACTGATTTCATTTCGTGTGTGCATGAGTGTTTTGTCTTCATGTATGTCTGGGCAACAAATGCATGCGGTGCCCACAGAAGCCACGAGACCTCATTGGATCCTCTGGAACCAGAGTTACAGGTGATCGTGAGCTGCCTTGTGAGTGCTGGGAACTGAAGCTGGGTTCTCTGGGAGAGCAGCTGGTGATTTTAACTGCTGAGTAATCTTTCTAGCCCTCTGGATAAAATGTTTATATGAGTGTTTAAGGGGAAAATCACATGTTCAGTTTTACTTTTAAGTTTTCCTCACTTATGATGCTGTGTGGCCTTCATTGTTTGTTGGGAGAAAGGCTGAGTAGCAGCTGCAGCAGTATCTATGTCTTCTGACTTTAATGACAGCACACGTGTGCTTTCACTGTTAACTGAATGGGGAGAATGCATGACCAAACGCTATCCAGGTCAAAGGTGATTGTCCGGCTATCCCCCACGGATGCACTCCTCTTCATAGCCTCTGTGTGCGACATTGCCCGTGTGGGTGGGCACAGAGAGCTCCCTCACAGTCCTGACCCTACCCCATTCCTTTGGCATCTGGGTACTCACTCCTAACTTTGCTTACTGCTGTCCAAGAAGACTTGCCCAAAGGTTAGCTCCTTATGAGCTGTCAGCTTAAGGTAGCTCCTAAGGCCACCCCCAAATATCAGCAATCGCCACTGTTAGTTGCCCTCCAGTGCTAGATGATAAAACCCTACAACTGAAGACACAGAACACCTGTCATGGGACAGAGACTTCAAGTTGGAACTGGAAGCTTCCTCCCTGCCCATTAACCCTCATAGTATTATAAAGTGTTATTCAGGCTTCTGCGGGGGGAGGGAGGAGGGGGTAACAACAGTCTCTAATGGGGAACTACCTCTGTTATGTTTCATGGCTATGACACGCCTGTGAAATTGTCGGCTAAATAACTTTCCATGCCTATGGACCAGTGCTGTTGTCAGGGCTTCCTTTTGCAGTGGCCAGCAGTACCTGGAGACTCGTAACTGGTCAAAGTGCTGAGGTTAAGTGACTATGGGGTTCTCATCCGTGGAGCATCTATCTCTCCCTCTCCAAGATTCAAGGAACGTGATGAAAGGGGTAGAAAGATCGGGTGTGGTGCTGTGGAACACTGACTTCTGTGGTACTTTTGAACTTACAGCAGCTGTGATGACCAACACAAGGTCAGGTCCATTTATACCCCATCATGGAAATGGGATGAGCTCATGGGGTCTCATCCTTCACCAGGGATTATAGTCAATGGTAAGGTCAATGGGAACAAACCTGCATCCGTGTGCAACCCGAAGAAAGTCACACACACAGGACGGGTGGGTTGCAGAGAGCAAAGGCTCAGTAGAAGGTGAACAGGATTGAAATGAAATTGTCATACGAAACCCATTACAAGGTATAATTCACATATGCTAATAAGACATTAAAAGACTTGACCCAAGATGTTCATAATCGTTTAATGACTGCTCCCAACACACCTGTCACTCAGCTACAGGTGAAATTCTCAGACTATCTGCCTAGGGCACCAACCACATGACCACTCTTTCTAGCAGCCAGGACCTGTATGTACCAAGGCCACAGCAGGAAACAGCAGGATCAATTAGCAAGAGCGGATCCCTGGGGCCTGCCTGTGCCTCCTCCTCCCCACAAAGGATTCCTCCTGGGAGGGGATGATCAGAGAGGCAGAGGGGGCGGAGACCACGTCTTCAGGGCAAAGGACTCTGCAAACAGCACACCCACAGCAGTAAAAGACTACACTGGGAGCAGGCCTGCTCAATAAATAGATAAGTCATCACCACAGTTGCCAGCAGGACTGCGGACCTTGGGAAGCTGAGCTGCGAAGGCCGCCTTCCTGAGGCCCGGCCACAGGCTACGTGCTGCACACCAGCACATCTGCAAACGGTCCCAGGAGGCTCTTGTTAAAGATGCAGCGGACCCACACCAGGTAGGTGGTGAAGGGCTTGATGTTCTCCGTGAAAGTGTGGTTCTGCAGGGTCAGCATGTAAGGCGCGTACGTGTTCTCCCCTTGCTCCTGCAGCCACACCTCGTACTTTACCTCCCGGACTTTCAGGTACTTGAGGTTCCATGGGATCTGCCAGGACACGGACAGGTGGGCCTCAGTGGCACCCTGCACGGACGCCTGGCACCGGGCCTCCCGCACCTTGCCTGGGTACAGGCTGATTGCCCACCTCTGCCTCCGTGGTCCCGGGCGGCCCTTCACCACGCGCCGGATGGATTGCATGAGGGACGGGATGTCCACCCTCGTGTCCTGGTAGATTCGGAAGAGCCACTCTGGGTTCCGGCAACAGAGGTGCCGGGGGACCTCCCGGCTCTGAAGGATGCGGGCCTGCTCAGCCCGGTCCAGGTGGGTGATGCCCCCTTGGTCCCAGGGCCGCTCAGGGTGTGTGACTGTGTTCTCCCGGATCATGTTTCGCCAGGCCACGTACTGCAGGTCCATGCCAGGCAGGGTGGCCAGAGTCTTATAGGGGGTGTAGTGGTCAGGATTGACAGCGTAGGGGAAGAGCTCGACTACGGTGGCCCCGCGGGGCAGGAAGAGGGCGGTGACCAGCTGGGCCCCGTGCATGCTGACTAACATGGAGGCGTTGCTGACCAGCCGCACCACGTCTGCGAAGCTGTGGTCCTCCAGGGACACGGTCACCGTCTTCATCTGGAACTCCTGCGCGAGCTCCAGCAGCAGCTCTGCCTCGTTCAGGATGAGTCTGTTCTGGGTGCGGCTGAAGACCAGGATGTACTCCTCGCCCAGGGGCGCCCCTGCGTGGCTCACGTTCAGCCTTTCGGTCATGAAGCGGGCAAACTGCCGGATCTCGTTGCCAGAGACGAGGATGTTGGCCTTCGGGCCCTGGGGCTGGACGAAGCCATACTGGTACCAGGTGGTGACCTTGGACAGGCCCACAAACGCGTGGGAAAAGCAGAGCAAGCGGCCCAGCGTCTTGAGTTGCGCTCGCAGCAGCGGCTGCTTGGGGCTAAGCAGCTTATAGAGGTCAAAGTGGGCGCCCTCGCCCCAGCCCTCCATGAAGAAGAGCCGGGCCTCCTGCGCCAGGCCGGGGAACTGCCTCAGCGTGTAGAAGAGCGGGAGCAGGTCGTCGTGGAAGACGTGCATGAGGTTGTCGGGGTTGAAGCGGTTGGTGATGAGGGCCACGTCGGGCACGAACACTGGCTTTGGCATGAAGCGCAGGGCTGCGGCGGGCAGCTCCACGAAATTGAAGTACTGGGCGTTGTGGTCCTCCACCGTGGACAGGTCCAGGAGGGCCGGCTGGAAGCGCCGGGAGCCCAGGTTGGGCAGCATCACGGAGGAGTTGCCATGGAAAAAGATGAATTCCTCGGCCTCATTGGAGTAGCACAGCCACTTGAAGCGACAGATGCGGTCTGTGTGGGTGCGGCCTGTGCACACCATGTGGGTGCCACCCTCCATGAGGACCTGCAGGGCCTTCAGGTAGTCGATCCTTAGGCCCGACACTGGATCCAGGGACTGCTGTCCAAGGGCCAGCTCCTCCTCCAGGGTGGCCGCGTGCTCCCGCAGGCGCACATGCTTCCACAGGACTGCGGCCAGCACAGACACCAGGAGGGCATTGAACACCGCGGAGAGGTGCATCCTGCCGCCACCAAGGGGCCTGAGTGAGATGGTGACTGCTGGGCAGGGCCACAGCCCAGGTGGGCTTCACCCATCCATCCCTGTGTGTGCCGGCGGATAGGAAAAAGCCTGTGAAGGGAGAGAGAGAGAGGAGTCAACCCAGCCAGGCATCTCAGCACACGCCTGCTGTGTGCTCCCTCCACACCCGCTTCAGCAAAGCTCCCAGCAAAGGTCCCTTGTAACGGCTGCAGCCAGACATAGAAAAAATAAGTGACTCTTGCTAAAAGGCAGTCATGAGTCAAATTACAAGTTTCATTTGTGTGTGTGTGTGTGTGTGTGTGTGTGTGTACATACATGTGTACATACACGTGTACATGTATGCTTAGAGGCCCAGAGGTCAGCATCAAGTGTCTTTCCTTGATTGCTCTACACCTTGTGTTTTTGAGACAGTCTCTCTCACTGAACCTGGTACTCACTGATTCAGCTAGACTGACTGGCCAGTGAGCTCCAGGACCCTCTGGTCTCTGCCTGCCCAGTGCTAGCATTATAGAGGTAAGTGGGCATCAATTGCTGAGTCATCTCCACAGCCCCGGGGGCCATTTGTTTAGATGGGTTACCCTTCTAATCACACTAGCATCACTCAGATGCAGAGCTGTGAGGATGAAGATGGCTTTTCAGCTGTGGATGAGCAGCCTGTGTGTCAAGTAGCGCCCCCTGCAATGCCTGTGTGTCAAGTTGCATCCCTTGCAATGCCTGTGTGTTGAGTAGCGCCCCTTGCAATAGCAGCAGCTGCTGGAATCTGTCCTGCTTTACCATGAAGCACCCATGGTTTCAGCAGCCTCTGAACAAGCCCAGAGGAGCACCCTACACACACCTGTGCTATGAAGAAAGGACATTACCACCACCAGAGCTCTGCAGAACTTCAGCAAGCACCAGGTTTTGGGCCAACATCTACCTCCAAACAGAACCCCTTACATTTGGGATAGTGTAGTCATTGGACGGTGCTGGTACCAAGGCACACTAAAGGCCAGGTACATTCATCCACTTGTCCTGGGTGGCCTTTCTTTGGGTTTTAGGTACCCTTTAGAAAAGGCAAGCATTTGGCAGCCCCATCACAGGCTTTGGTGGTCAGAAGTAATGTACTGGTTGAAATGCTGGTCCTGGTACCCAACTGTTTTCTGATGTACAAAAGAAACCATTTCATTCATCTAGGTTCCCTGATAGGTGAGACCTCCAGTGCCAGGAAAAGGGCTGGGACACTTGATCAAGGGCTACCCACATCAGCCATGTGCATTCCGAAGCACCCTGGGTACTCTGCTGCCATCATGATTCTGAGCCAAGGCTGGCCAGTGCTAGGCAGACACTGTCCCTTCCCGTCACTGCCACCTGGAACAGTGTTTCAAATCTAAGCACAGAAATCTTTCCAAAGAAGAGTGACCAGTCAGTGAACATGGCCAGAAGCCACCTGACTGAGGTGCCATGGTCTGGGTCTCCAGGTTGAGTTGGCTCAAGGTGCTCATCTCCACCTATGTCTGCTCTTCCTAAGGATTCTTCGGTGTGTTCACCCTTCCCCCGAGCCCCTGTGCTGAGTGTCCCAGGACCCAGAGGAGGTAGAGACGTGTGGCTCTCAGGGTGCACAGAGCTCACCTCTGGAGCTCTGGCCCAATCCAGTGGCAGGCTGCAAAGAGGGACCAGTCAGACTGGAGAGAAACTAGTTCATGTCCCTATCTGAGGGACAGGAGGAAGTGGTGTCCCCTGGCTGCCACCTGCCTACCACAAGCAAACTGGCTTGAGGGCACTGACAGTATGCTAAGGATAGCACAGCAGAAGATACAGGGGCCCCTGGTGATGTTTCCAAGTCTGCTGTGAGAGTACTTCTTTCATCTTTGAAGCCAGACTGAATTGTGGTTCCTGGCTTCTATTGGACAAGCACATGACAGGAGGGCACAGCTTTCTGAGCCATGTGCTCAGACCCAGTGGAATGATGTTGCACCCACTTCCCTGTGACCCTCCTAATCTGCGTATATGAAACCGTCTCTCTCCCTAATACATCTCCATCACAGCAACAAACGCCGAGTCCGAGGATTAACAGCTTGACATGAGTGCCCTCTGTTGGACAAAAGTAGGACTGTGGCAACCTAAGTGTAGAAAGCGGGGATACTCAAGGGAGACAGGACTTGGCTGTTTCTGGGCCCTCGGAGGGTGGACAGTGTTTCTAGTTAAATGTGAGCACCCATCCCAGGGCCTGCCAATATGGCACTGGTAGAGGGCAGGACAGACATGGAAGGTTCTACAAAGATCTCACTGGGCATGCCAGGTTCTGTGTTACCCTTTCAGGAGGGAAAACGTGAAGCTTTGATGAGAGTGAACATTCTGCCAAACTGTGTGGTCTAAAGCATGGCGTGGACTGACTGGGTTTCAGCCAACTTTGTTAGAGTCAGGCAGCCTGAACCAGGCTGAATGACAGGAATCCAGCAGCCCGAACTGTGCCACCTTGGTTAGCAACCCACACTCCTCCTTGCTGGGACTGTGTGCAGGCTTGTTCCATCACATAGAATAAGCTCTGCATGCACCCATGGGGCTAGGCTGCAGCTATTCTGGCTTAACCTTTCTGACTGCTTTCCCTCTGTACACTCACTCAGGTGAACCAGGATGGAGGATGGATAATGGACTAGTTCTTCATCCTTGCTTTAAATCTCCTTCTGGGGGATCTTACAATGGAGCCCCTTATTTTGCCACTGTGGAGGAGCCAAGGTCCAGGGCAGTCAGTGGTCGCCGTAAAATCCTTCCTGTCATTCTCCTGAATCACCACACCCCCACTGCACTGTAGCATCTTACTTAAGCCAGCAAGATCAAAAGTTTTGGCAGAATCAGATATCAGATAGAAGTAGGGAGCACTTGTAATAAAAAATAAATGGGGGCTGCTGAGGCTCCTTGGGTGAGAGGCAGAGGTCACCTGGGAAATGTATTTTGTCTCCACCTACGCTGGTTCTTTAGGGTCTGCAGGTGAACATGCTGTGAGGACCAAAGGAGACAACCTCTGGGCCTCCCATCAGATGGGATCTGGACATGGAGGGTCTGCAATGGATGTTCCACACATAAAAAAGAAGAGCCTGTCTGTTTCTGACTGGGCAGGCCGACCTCATGCATCTTGAAAATGGCCTGGCCCTACTCGAGGTCTTGGCATTTGTAGCACCCATGACAGCTACACTAAAACCCTGCCTGTTACCACACCAGGCCCTTTCAATAGAAAAAGACCCCAATTTAGCAACCCTCCTCCTGCCCTACATACAAGAGATCTGTACTTCCCCTGCAAAAGTCTCCCTGAACTGCTGGCTGGGGGTTTCGACTTTTCACTGCAGGAAGGAGATTCAAAGGAAAAGGTCCTTGCGGTTTTCCCCAACCAAGTTGTTATGGAGACAGTTTAACAGCAAGCCTGGCTGAGGGCAGAGGAGTTCAAAGGGGCCAGCTTCTATCTCAATACTATTCTGAGAAGAAATGAGCTTAACTGGACTCTAAGCGCGAGTCTACCCCTCAGCAGAAGAGGCTTCCGTGGCCCCTCCCCTGCTCTGCTGGGGGGAGAGGACTGTAGATAAACAAACTTGTATGTGACTAGTGTGTAAATATGTAAGGGTGTGCATGCACATGTGTGCTCATGCCCGCAGAGACCCCATGGTGGGCTACAAGTGCCTTCCTTGATGGCTCTCCAACTTACTCTTTTTACATGTTTATGTCTATGAGAGTTTGTCTGCATGTATGTCTGTATAGCATATGAGCACCTGGTGCCCTTGGAGGCCAGAAAAGAACATCCAATGCCTTGAAGCTGTAGCCACAGATGGTCGGGAGCCACCATGTGGGAATTGGGAACCAAACTTGGGACCTAAGAGCAACAAGTACTTTTAACCACTGAGCCGTCTCCCCAACCCCACCTTATTTTGGGGTGTCTTTACTGAGTCTGGAGCCCACCAATTTGGCTAGCCTGGCTTGGCTGGCCAGCAAGCTCCAGGGATCTTCTTGTCTGGCTCCCAGGCCCAGCCCCCAGCCCTGGGGTTACAGGTGTTACAAGTCACAGTGGCTTTTTATGGGGGTGCTGAGAATCCAAATCCAGGTTACTATTACTCAAGGAACCCAGGCCCCTAGAAATAACATGGAAAAGATGCCCACTCTGTAGGGAAGGCACAGCACCGATGGTTTGAGCCTGGCCATTTTCAGCACCCCTTGTCCCTGGTGTGGGGGACTCAGGCAAGGAGCTGGAAAGCACCGCTCACACCCGTCTTGTACTTCCTGCCATGGTACAGCCTGGGTCTGTGCAGTGGGCCTTCCTTCCAGGAGAGGTGAGGAGCAGAGAGACCAGGATGATGCCCAGGTGAGGTGTGGGGGGGGGCAGCCCCACCCTCCATCTCCAGCAAGAAGCCAGGCTCTTGACAGGATCTAGAATCACCTTGGAGACAAAATATGCCTGCTAAGGCCTGCAGCTGTGACTCTGAAAAGCTGTGTCCTCAAGTCTTTCATGATAAAAGACTGTAGTGTACTTCCTTCATCCTCCCAATGGTAGGCACTGGATGGATGGGGACAGGCCCAACGCTGAACATGATTAACCACCAGCGTGGTGTGTACTACCAACAGAAGGGTGGATACCAGCCAACACTGCTGAGCCAGCATCCCTGGCAGCACAGGTGAGTGGGTCATGGTAAGTGAAGCCAATTTTCCTCCCATCTTATGTACAGGTCAGTGTGAGTGGAGGCCAGGGATACAGTGTGTGTGTGTGTGTGTGTGTGTGTGTGTGTGTGTGTGTGTATACATGCACACCCAGGATATATGCATATGTAAATTTATGTCTAAAGACATGTGAATTATGTGTTATAATGTGTGTGCATATCTTTATGGAACAGAGTCTAAAATCTTAAGAGAATGCCAAGGGAATGGGAAATGAGATTCTGCACTGGCCAAGTTAGTCAAGTGTCAGACATGAAAATGACGAATGACATCCCTGGCCTCAAAGTTCTCACTGTAGCAGAGAAGACTTGATGCCCCTGTGACACCTGACATGATTCAGTGGGCACAGCAAGGCACACGTGCTGAGGAGCAGTGACAGCTTCTGGGGATGAGGTGGCCATCACTCAGGAAGGGTAGCTTCTTGTCCATTCCCATCTGACAAGCCCTCTGCTTCACTGTGCCGAGTGGTCACCTGGCCTGGCTTTTGTTTAATAACTCCTGCTTCCCTAGGGGCTAGCCCTAGCTGTCCCCAGGGGAGGAGCCAGGTCAGGTGGGTACAGCAGTTCACACGGAGACTGAGAATGGGCCTCAAGGCCTGAGCTGGTTCCTTTTTCCCTCCAAACCCCTCTCCTCATCTGGGACTTGGCCACATCTGTCTACTACTGTTACAGTTAGAAACCTTAATGGGAGTGTGGTTAGGATGCATTCAGTTTAGTGGCTCAGCCAGGACAAAGCTTGACAGAGCGAGACTATATGTCCACAAAAGCCCTTAAACGCAGACAAACGTAAGGACGCTGACACATCTGTCCACAGCCCGGTGGTGAGGGCAAGGTCTCGTGCTGGCAGCATCACCTGCCTGCCTGAACATTTATTATGGCACGCCCTGGCCAGCCCCAGACACAGGCAACCCCACATATGGGCTGTAAGGTCTGATAAGGAGGCAGCATCCCATGATTCCTAGACAAGTCAGGGCTGCAAACTCACAGATCGGCAGCCAATAGGGAAGTAAAGCCAGGGCAGACCACATGACCTGGAACCTGGGGTGGTGGAGGGGACAGTTAAAGCTCTACTTGCTGAGAGCTTGGCAGGACAGCAGTCGCCTTAGGCTGCAACACTAACAGCACCATAGGCTGGGTGGCTTGAACAACAAACTTACCTCCTGGCAGTACTGGAGGTTGGAGGTCCAGCATTCGTCCCCGGCCAGGTGGACACAGCGCAGCCTTTTACAGCTCCCTTCTGGTTTCCACAGAAAAAAACGTGAAAAGCCCTAATCTATCATTTCTGGCAACTGTACAAACTGAGTGAAGACGAGGATGAGGCAACCGGCTTTGCGCCACCAGGTAAAATCAGGTGTGTGCTTGTTCATAAGCTCTGGTCCAAGGACAGCGACCCTGGCACCTGGGCTCCAGCTGCAGGACTATCAGGAGTGGTAAAATTCCCCACTGTGACACTGAGAAGTGTTTTCAGCCGGGAACACAGCATGTGTTTATTAGTGCTGAACTGTGGAAGCTCTGAGTGGCACATGGATGTCCCGGTCACTCTGAGGGGGGTAAACTCAAACTCTCCACAAGGTCAGGCTGGCCTCCGAGGACAATCTATTCCATCCTCCTCCACCTTCCTGTTTAGCATGTGTTACAAGGTGGTCGTACATGCAGCAGAACCACCTGTGAATCTAGGGTTAAGGAAACCTGACCCTTAAGCCCTGCACTCTGAACTTGCTGGGAAGGGAATCATCTTCAGTAAGATGCAGGCAGCCCAAGCTCTTTGTAACACTTAGCAGTTAACCATAAAGGTGCGTTAAGCGGTTCTAAGCTCACATGCTTGCAGTTTTTTGTTTTGTTTTGTTTTTACATTTTTTATTTTATTTTGAATTGTGTATGTGCACATATGTGCAGTTCCTGGAGAGGTCAGAGGTGTTGGGTTCTCCTGGAGCCGACGTTACAGACATGAGCAAGCCAGCAGTCATGGCTGGGATCAGAACAATGGGACCCTAACCACTGAGCCATCTCTCCAGCCTTCACCTCTGTCCACTCACATTCATACTGACGCCCTGACCTAGAAAACACCCTCTTGAACTCAGAGCTGGAGACACAAATCCCACGTCAGCAGGGACAATGAATGAGTTTCAACTCGGAAAGGAAAAACTCCCAAGGGGCTCACATTCCTTCGCTTTGGTGGGATGGGTGATTAGCCCTGCCCTGCTTGTGCAGGAAGGAGGGCTCAGCCTGCAACCCTCTCACCAGGGTACTGTTGCCTAGTGATTCAGACATCTGATCACAGCCCGGTGTCCACCTTAGCTCGGATGAGTCACTGCAAGCTGACTCGGCCTCCTTTCCAGTGTCAGAGCAGCACCATGTGGTCACACACAGGGATGCAGATGGGAAAGGAAGAGCATAAACCTGTCTTAGGCTCACACAGGACATATGAATATATTACAAGGTCTTGAGGTGAAACCACAGGAGAAAACCATTTGTTGTTGGTTTTCTGTTTGTTTGTTTGTTTGTTTATTTTGGACACGGTTTCTCTGTGTAGCCCTGGCTGCCCTGGAACTCACTCTGTAGACCAGGCTGGCCTCAAACTCAGAGATCCACCTCCCTCTGCCTCCTAAGTGCTGGGATTAAAGGGGTGTACCACCACCATCCAGCTCAAACATAATTCTTACAGGGACTACCCAGACTCCAAAATATCACGTCAGATGGGGCTTAGACCCCCAAGAGAGACGAATTCCATCAAGACTCCAGGAGATGCCCATGATAGGAGAAACAGTTAAAAACACCAGAAAGTATGCCTAGCGCACACAGAAACAAGAGACCACCCAAAAGAGCTCTGCCTAGAGGTGGGCACCCGGGTGAGCTATGGGCAAGGGCTTAGAGGGTGTGGGTTGGTGGTGAATGCTATGTTCCTGTGTCCAGCTCCCCAGACTGCCCCAGCAAACCATGAGACCGCCAAGTCTTGGATACCTTTCCCACCTAAGCAGAACTTCAGGCTTTGGGCTGGAGAGAGCAGGGGGCTGGGGCTGGGAGAAAAGCTGGCTTTACCAGGGAGACTCCTCAGGCTCAAGGGGAACTTGCAAAGCCCCTGCCTTAATGACAGGAGGGGGATGACTGCCTCAGCTTGGGTTTCCCTTGGTCTCATCACTATGGTGTCACTGTCAGCCTCCTCTGTCCTCGTGATGATGACACTATAGAAGCTAATACCCACTGGCTCATCACTGGGTGTGGGGGTCCTCTGTTTCACCATGGTGACATCTTCATTTATATTAAAGATGGTGAAAGGGAAGAGAGGGCAGGAGGCTATTGAAGGACACATGAGGCTTCAGGGTGGGGCTGGCCTGTGGGGGCTGGCTCTAGTGTCTGCAATCGGCAATTACTTCATCGTACAGGAAAACAACTTCAACTTACAAAAGCTGCACAGTACGGAAACAACCCCCACCCTTCCAGATTCTTCCCTAAGGTGACACATTCATCATTCTGTCACATGCAAACTCTTTTCTGAAATATTTAAAAATAAACCAGATGCCAGGTGCTGTGGCATACACCTGCAACCCCAGCATTTGGGAGTGGAGACAGGAGGATTTGAGACCAGCCTGGACACTTATCAAGACCTTGTCTCAAAAACAAAAATTCTGGTGACATCTTCCCTGAAAGCCATTACTACTTAACTATATATTTCTGAGAGCAGTATTATCTTGTATAATACAAATTAACACAATTAATACTGATAATACTATTTTTAATCCATGGTCCCTAGGCTGTGTCCAAAATCTAACCCAGGATGAAGAGAGCAACATCTCTCACCTCTCTTAGTCTTTCCTATGATTTGACGGTTTCTCTAAGGTTTATGTATGTATGTATGTATTAAATATCTAAATATATACAGACACACATGTAAAGGTGTGTGTGTGTGTGTGTGTGTGTGTGTGTGTGTGTGTGTGCACAGTACCCATGGAAGAAAGGAAGGGTGTTAGATACTCTGGAACTAAAGTTACAGATGATTGTGAACCACCATGTGGATGCCCGGAATCAACCTCAGGCCATCTGTAAGAGCAACAAATGCTCTTAACCTCTAAACCGTCTCTCCAGCCCCAACCTTGACAGTTTTAACCCAGATAGGTATTTTCTAACAAGTGCCTCAATCTGGGTTTATCCTTCTTACAAGTGCAGGGTATGCACTTCTGCCCGGAACCAGTATACACACCTCACCCCCGAGTTCACTCTGGGAATCTTTGTGAGACGCTCACCTTGAGGAACCCGGTGGGGAAAACACTAGACACTCTACCCTACCCTACCCTACCCTACCCTACCCTACCCTACCCTACCCAGGTTACTTAAAGGAACAGGCCTCTTCCCTGGGGAAAGGAAGACCCAGGAGCCCTATAGGATTATACAGCTTGCTGGAGGGGTAGAGTGAAACTGTTTCTACTCCTGTGGCCCACATATGCATGACCCAGAATTCTTTCAGTTGGGCCTAGGCATGCCATGTGCTCGGTTTCCATGTAAAGTTGCTCTCACATGCAGTTCTGCAATCCTCTGACAGGATCCAACCACAAGGAAATGGTGGATCCAGCCGAGGATTTCCCTCCATTAATAAAGGCTAACTTTGCTAACATGACACTCAAGCTGATGGTTCAGGACAGTGCAGACTGAGTCAGTTTCCACACTTAACAACTTTCTAGAAAAGCTGCCCCAACCTAAGCTTTCCCAGGCAAGCACCACTGTTTGTGGTGTGGAAGTGGTACAAAATGAAGCCACCTATTTTAAACAGCTGCCAGTGTGGGACACTGGCAATGCCACGTCATCTTTCAGGCAGTGGAGACCGTAATCCAATATCTGGCGCCCAACGGTAAACGATCCTGAAGAGCCAACGAGCACCCAGATAATCCAATGAGTTTCACCGCGCCGTTGCTTTTCTGTCCCCAGCTCCCTTTGGTGGCACTGGGAGGGTCAAACTCAGGACTGCCTCTGTACTAGGCAACAACTAAGCTATAAATAACCCCAGCCCTTAATTTTCTTGAATTATGAGAAAAATCGCACCTTATGCATAGGTTACATGTTTAAGGGCATCTAGCCCAAGTGAGGTCACTAGGATGTGAACACACCTGACTCCAGGGGTCATTTTTAAGTCCCTCACCCAGCTGTCATCATATCTGATGGTATCTCCAGGGAAAGGCAAGCTGGGTAGAACTCCAGTGGGATTTGCGATTCAAGGGCAGAGCAGGCATGGAAGGCTCTGGAAACACAGATCCAAAGGCCTTCCTTGGTAACTTAGCAACCCAAGGCTTCTTGCTGTAATTACTCTCACCCAGCCGGGCAGAGAAAACACCTGGCTGCGGCTGGTGGCTTAGGAAGCTGTGGCTGTTCTCTCAACCTAAAGAGAGTTAGCTTTAGTTAGGCAGCAAGCTGGGGTGACAATTATCCAGACTGCCCTGGTGCTGGGCTGAGAGTGAAGCACTGTGCCATCAATACACAATTACAAAACCACTGCCTTCTAGAACTGAGAGTCTTTGGAAATGAATCCTCCCAAGTCTTTATTTTATAAGCGAGGTCTCTCAGGCAGCCTGAGATGCACACAGTTCCCACTCCTCCCAGCAGATAAACAAAGGTTTTCTCCCAACTAAAGCCTTCCAGGTCTGACCCAGGCTGCGGACTCACCCACTCAGGCTGCTCTCACCAACCCATGAGGCAGGGATGGGAGAGAAGGAGACCTTCCTGCAGGCTGCCCCTTACTAATGCCTCGCCTCTGATCTCACCCAGGGGACTGCCTCCTTCAGCGTCACCACTGATGGGACAGCAGGACACGTGGAGCCAGCTCTAACCCAAAAGTGTTGCCAAGACCCCCACTGTAACACCAGAAATGACTGTTGTGGGTCCCAACCAGGTTCCAGGACATTAGAGCCCACAGGCAGCAGCGAAAAGAATGGCCCAATCAGAAATGCCAGGTGAGTTCCAGCCGACACTTAAGCAGCTGAACTATGCTACCCCAATTCTTAATCACTGCATACCTCCACTTAGTAGACTGAGAGATGACACTTCTACTTCACGGAGGGTGGGGGTGGGTTCAGGTTTGTGGATTCAAAGAGTCAATGGAAGCAAAGCACTGTGCCTACAATTATTCTCCTAGCAGCTCTACAATGACAACAACCCATTTACTGACTCATGCTAAGTCCTCTGCGTATGTGTCTCATCCTGGCTACAAACCTAAAGTATGTGTTGTGAATCCCATTCTCACTAAAGGACATAAGCTGGGAACTGCTGTATGGATTGTTCAGTATCGCATAGCTATTATGGGATGGGACAGAAGTTCAAACTCAAGCCTGAACTGCAAAGCCCCTGGATTCTCCCTTTCCCTCCAATATCTCATCCAACTCAGAAAAACCCTGGGGATCATTTTAGCATTTCCTGAGGGAGCGTGTCCCTGCAGCAACCAAGTCCAGGGGACTGACAAGGCCTCTTGGGAGTGGAGCGTTGGGTAATTTAATTTTCTGTCTCTCTCAT